TGTACGAAATGAAGGCTGGGTCAAATTCAACAGCCGATTAATAGCAGAACTCGTCAGTTTCTGTATTTAGAAAATTATTAGATGGGTTTGTGTTATCGACCAGCGGATCCACATCAGAAACTCTTATCTAAAGTATAATTCAAAATGTACAAAAACTGACCTTTGATTAGGCATATAAAACGAAGACAGTGCACACATAACCGCAAAAGACGACGAAGCGCGGATTTATCGGCTCTTGATATAATTTTTATACAGTCGTGATGGGCTATCATGCGGCCTAATCTTGCCACGAAGATACCAGTAGACGATCATCATCGCCGACCTTTTTCCGTTGGTGTATAGAAATACATGTCCGACACATTGTAGGTTCTTCCTTCTGCTTTCGACGGCAATGTCCTTTACTTCGCTTCCATCCACTGTTAGATCTCCGTGTTCTTGATGTGGTCGAGGCTTGAAATTCCCTTCAACCGTGGTGAGCGCGCAGAGCGTGCTCGATACAAGTGAACCCGCGCTAATCAGTTCTTCGTTGAAACTCTGCAGCCGGATCGTACAGCATGTTGATTTTATGACCCACGTAAAGATACGCAACAATGCTTTTTGATTTTTTCACCGTTTGTTATTACCTTGGTCTTCGGCAGGCCATACGATCATAGTATTTTCGTCTTTGACGGATTAATTCGCAATCCGATTTCGGCACTGTTGCTCTCGAGCCCCTGCAGTATGTCTTTTCCGCAAACAACATCTCACCAACAAAAGCTTAATCCGTCATTTCCAGTTCGTCCTTTGAAACATCATATCTAAACAGACAATGAATAGACTTGGAGAGGTGATGTCTCCTTGCTTCAGTTCGTCGCTAGGGGAGTCCAGAATCGTGTCGGCCCCATCTTTCTTCATCCTCGTTTGCTTCTACAGCAAACTGCTCCTGTCGGAGATTCATAATTTCTCTCTCTTTGATTCTACCCTCTCGGTTGAATTTATGCAACGCCTCGGATTCTCGGCGAACTTCTGGGTATCGCATTCGCAGCTGCCTTCAGTCTCCGGTCTTCCCTGAAAATCCGCGCGCCTTATAGAAACTTCTCCTCAAACTTTACGGTTCTAGCTGGTCTATCAATCTGTGGTCGGTGACGGTGTTAGAAACTATTGCTAGGTCTCGCATGATGCGCGTTTATCGAACAAGATGAAGTCGATCTCGTTCTTCGTCGCTGAGTTAGGTGCAATGTCGCCAAAGTACCGTAATGCAATGCATAGACACAAAACCTAATCATTCGATGTTTCTGGAAATAACGTGTTCGTAAAGCCAGCATGAAGCTCCTCTCTTAAGTGTCCAACGCAATAAGTCATGTTTACTTAGTCCATCCAGCCATCGATTTGCAGGTTTCTCTACCGGCCTTTTACTGTCTCTTGAAACCGAGTCAAATACCCCGCTGGTCCAGCGATGGTTAGATCTTCATGCAATACACCCTGCCTACTTTGACTGTGACCTTGCCCACTGCCACTTTGACTTATTTATTCTGACAATGACATTACAGATTGTTGATTGTGTCTAACCTATTCATTCCTTTTCCTATCTTTTCCCATTATTCATAACACACATCTTGCCATGAATTATTCCGTAATGCTGTAGTTATGAATAGCTTTCAGGCTTAGGTAGAAGCTTCGCACACATGAGTTTGCGTTGGGAGCACACATTGATCGAAAACTTACCGTTTCAAGCACAAGGGCAATTTTCCTAACAGGAACATTTGCCGTTTTCCAAAGATGACCCATATCAGGTTTATTATTCTGTTGATATCACATAGTCGGTACTTCATTACATAGAGCCGTGTCATACAGACGTAGTTTTGTACCTCTTGAAGCTTGTTGACTTCAACAGTTCGTGCGGTCACGTATTTCTAAATGATGGCCCGAATCTTCTTTTAACCTTACTCTCACGTTGGCGTCATTCATCTCTTGAATTTATCTGGTGACCTGAAGAAGATCAAAATTTCGTCCGCAAATCAAAAACGATTTAAGTAGTGCCTGTTTGTTTAACCCTTGAATTTCCTAACGGAGTGTCTCGTCTCTCTTATAGAGCTGCTGTGAATAAGGTCGATGGTCCTGTCAAAGTTTTTTTTCGATTTTTAACTTGCTTCCGCTTTCGTGAAGCTATGCACTTGTAGTGGCATTCTTGTCAATTATGGCGATGAGGTCAATATACAGTTTTTCTGCCATCTGGCTCCGCAAAGAATCCAGTACAAAACGGATGTAGAATGAGTCGAAAGTCTTTTCGAAACCGATGAATCCCAGGCAGAGAGAAAGTAATCCAACTGGTTGTGTGAATTGTATTTTGCACAACCTGGATCGATCGAATTAAATCCATTTGTCTTGCTGCATGCTTTGTTATCAGTCATCTACAGGATATTCAGTAAGTTACCGATGAACAGATCTCAAGGAAACGACGGTGTAGTGCATATATTCATTTGGAATGTATAATACGCTAAAAACACTTTAAATATTACTGATTTTTAAATAATTCGAGGTAAAATCAATGTAGTAAAAAAAGTGTTACATATTACTTCGCTATGGCTTGGAGACAGATGGTACGAATTACTGGCCTACTCACTATTTATTTATTTTGCAGACGCAATGACTACGGACAAATTTGCTTAGCTTCTCCATTATACCCGTTTGATATTCTTCTGGCGTTTGTTTAGAGCCTAAATATGGAAAATGCTTATTTACTTTGTTGCAGTTCAGAACTTACCAGTGATCCAATAGTAAAGGTCCCACTCGGTCTCCCCACTGTTTATCAGTCTATCATACGTATTCAGCTCTTCTTCAGTGAGTTTCGCTCCGAACTTCTCGAAAAAGCAGCTGAAATATATTCCGTTCAGGTTCATCAAACATGCTGCAGTTTAACTTCTAAATGATTAGAACAAAGACAATGGACAGCATTTATGCGATTGCTGGGCAACACCTGTTAACAGAAAATTTTCAACTTTGAACTATGCCTCTGCATCCGTTACACTGAATTTCAACTCATGATGAATGATGTCACTTTTTCGAACTGTTTTTACAACTTTACTTTGACAACGAGAAATTAAAGCTCGAAACGTCGGTAATATGTTAAACAAAATCAATATGCAGAGCATTCCCATAAGAAATGTGAATATCATCAACTTAATCTTTGGCGTAAGCATAATTAAAACCGAAGCTATCTTTAATGTGAAAATTCAGTTCAAAATACGAAAAATATTTGATGGGATGATATCACATAACAGATATATCGTAAAATGGATTCTTCAGCGTATGAAATCATGGTCAATCTGTCTATAAAGCAGAGAATGTTACAATATGGTCGTGCAGTTAGGCTTCAGCTTCGAGAGTGGCAGCTCTTGTATAAGTTCATGACAGTGAGAACCTAGTTCCATACCGACGTTTTAGTTCATGCACTGGTTCGACTGATTTACCATAACTCCGGCTTCCTTTATCGTCTGATCTAAAAAATTTCACAAACGACGTATTCGTTTCACTTGGTCCCATAATATTCAGCTTCTAGTCAAGTCACTTAAGTGATCCTTCTTCTTTTAACGTATTGTACTGTCGGTTTCTCCTGTGTAATTGAGTCTGCACTCACAAAGTAGAGTGTAGATTAAACCTTACTGTGTGAATTTTGACTCGATGGTTTCGACATGCGTCAGCTGGCAGGGCAATGTTTCTTTTTCTAATCTGAATAATAGCTTTGTTCAACGCTTTCAGGCGATTCTCTGCAGATTCTGGCTTAGATGTTGCACATATGGAAAAGCAACAACGCTGGCATTGAACTTCTGTCATTCGATTCAAGTTCTTCTCCTTTGCTGGTTGCTGAATACTTCTGTTAACCACCATTTCTGAGAGCTCTACGGATTTAAGCCCCTGCCATTCACATGCTAGCATTCTCTGCGCTAAGTTCAAAGCATCTGCTAGAATACCAGCGACGTCCTTGTTAATGCAATATTCGCGGTTAGAATCGAACATCGCGAACATTTTATTCACTTTCGGCTTATGTTAACGAATTAAATAGATATATAAAATTGCATATCATTGACTTCGTGTGATAACAAGCGATACAATAAAACCTCGCAGTTTCAGCATACTTGTTAACACAACGGTTCAACTTTAGTAATATAAATTAGTTTTACCCGAGGATGAGGTCATTCTCCAAAATTCCGCGCTTCTTGCTTTGGTATAAAAGGCGCGCCCTCTTCTGGATGACGGTTTCGTGCATTGACCGTGCAGCATTTATTTCTGTCGGCCATACGCAATGGCTTACGCACCGGTAAATTAAAATACGAAAATTCCTCCTCAGCATTACTAAAAGACAAGAAAAAATACAGCAAGATGACGGTAGTATTGTCAAGTTTATTTGAGACAATTCACGATTTAAGCTTGTTCAACTGATTTCCACTGAAGTCAACAATAAACTCGATGGGTACCTTAAAACTTTGTTCCTTATTGCACTTGATCGTTCGTCATGACCTGTTGTGATACACGTGCAGCAAGTTCGAAGCTTACTACATAGGTAGGAACGGAAAACCTCTAACACGGGTAAACTCACAAAAATAAAAAAAGCTAACTCAGGGCACTGTCATATTTTGCATAATACACGAGTTACATAATCAACAAATCACCGATTTGAAAATCATCGCTATTTTAGATTCATATTTCAAAATTCGTTGACATCGGTTTTCTAGTTGTCATTACCACTGAAAGCATTTCACATACATGTGGGAAAACTATCGAATCCAAATGGGCATTTGAGATCACAATAACTAATGCCGACTCATTTTTTAATCAAGATCAGCGCTAGCACCGAGTTTAACTTTTTTATTCAGTGGCAACATGCA